AAAGGATCCCTGTGCCCCTGTAATGGAGCGATTCAGCTGGTTCTCCCACTCCATAAGTTGAGGTTATTATAGAATGACAACATCATTCTAAGCGCTGGAAGCAGCCAGGGAGGAACTTAACTTGACCCGCTCTGTCCTCAGGATCTGCAATGTAAGACGCGGTGCCCAGTGTCCTTGTCGGATGACAACCCGGCCTCTGTTGTTCAAGTGCTTCCGCTGAAGGAGGGCCGGTCATCTCCTGGGGCAATCTGTGCCACTGTCCAAAAGCTCAGGCTGTTAGGAAAGTTCCTCCTAACCTTCAGCTTGGATTTGTGTCCCTGCCATTTCCATTCGCTGGTTCAAATCCTGCCTCTGGAGCAAGAGGGAACAAGTGTGCCTCATCTTCTTAGGTGGCAGCCCTTCCAATCAATGTTCGAAGGCTGCTGCTTCTTCTTGCTTTAATCTGCTACAAGAGGAACAGTGTGGGGTAGTAGTTGAAGTGTCAAAATGAGACTCGGAGGGGATTCAAGTTCCAGTCCCTTCTGAACCATGAGACATACTGGGTGGCCATGGGCCACAACACACACTCCCCCAGTCTGACCTACCTTACAGGATTGTTGTGAGGATAAAATGGGGTGGGAAAGAACAGCCACATACATGGCTTTGAGCTCACCATAACAAACAAATAAACTTTCTCTAGGGTAACCATGCCCATTTCTTTCCAATGTTCCTTTTAAGTCTTGCTCCCCATATCCCTCAGCATCCTGGTAACCTGCCTCTGGAGATACTGCAGCTTCACAATATCCTTTTTAAATGCAATATTCGAAAGGCTATGGACACAAAAGACCAAAATTGGTCTGATCAGCATGGAAGAGAGTGGAACAATTGCAGCACTTCTGGTGATCTGCATTCTAAGCTTCTGCAATGCAGCCCAGACTGCATTAACTTTTTTAGCAGCTGCACCACACTGCTGGCTCATATTCAACCTATAATCCACTAGGACACTATTTCCAAGCCACCCCATTCAGGATTTACACCTTTGAGGGAAACTGGTCAGTTGATTAATACACAGATGGATTTGTTTGTTTATTGTGCTTATATGCAGATAAATTCAATACACACACGCACATGCAAGATTGTTCTGTTTCGCTCTGCTGAATTTCATTGTTTTGGCCCAGCCTCTCAGCCTGTCCAGATCCTTTTGAATCTTGATTCTGACCTCTGCTGCATTAGCAATTCCTTTCAGCAATTCCTGTCATCTGCAGATTTGAGAAGCATCTCCTTCTGCATCCTTACCCAAGTCATTTACCTCTCACCAGGATGTGACACAGAGCCATTTATTAGGCTGCTCAACCAGATGTGAAGCCAGCGCACATTTTATCATATTGTCCACAAGGATTTCCCAGGAAGTACCCATGAAATGCCAAAGCAGCATTTCCACAATTGCCCACATAGCAACTCTGCCCTCCCCACCGCCGTAGGAGAAAAGGTTAATCTGGCATGATTGCTGTTATAAATGATTTCTTATTGCCTTGGGGTTTAAAATGACTATACTAAAACAACCCCAGGCTGGCTCCTAGCATTCAATGCATTCTTTCTTGATTCCATTTGCAAAACCACCCCTAAATAATCCCTTCTACAACTATGTCCAGGATGCTCTGAGCTGCTTCTGTTGCCATTGCTGTTCCTTCTCTGCCCCAAATCTCCTCCATGCCGCCTGATTCCGGTGCAGGTGGGGCAATGAATGTTCTCCAGACTTTGAGAAAGGCATCCAAGGTGCTCAACGCCACCCCTAAAATAGGCCCAGCCCTTTGGGGAGCTCTTTTCAAGTTCCTACTAGAATCCAGAGTGGATATATCAATCACACACCCACACATATGGGAGCATTACCTCCTGCTGCAAAGCCTCTGCAAAGATCCCAGCGAGAGCCAGGCCTCAGTATGTGAGCAACCAGGCAGGAGTCACCATAAATCCCATTGTGGGAGAAACACAGGGTATAAATCCCTTAAATAAAATTAAATTAAAAATACAAGGGGCACAATCATGGCACTGTCATCCCAGGGCACGACTAGAGTCCGCTTTTTGTAGAAAGCCTGTGGGGCTGGGGCTGGCAATGGGATTTCCTGTGAGCCCCCCAGAGGATGCTAGATTTCCACATTGGGGGGAAATGGGACAAACACCCCAAGGGGAGGGAGGCCACCTTGCAAAGGGACCGGGACCACCAAGGCCAAGGGTTCTAGAAGGGACAAAACTGACCATTCCAGATTTACAAACCATACCATTTTCCCAGCCTGCTTCTGCATCAGTCTGTGAATTCATGCCCCCAGCACCAAAGACCGATGTGAGTCTTTGTGCATTTATTCTGCTATTAGAATTGTAGAATCAAAAGAGCTGGAAGGGGGCTCATGGGCCATAGAGTCCAAACCCCAGCTCAATGCTGGATCCTCCAGGGAGCTGTCCAGCCTTTTTCTAAAGCTCCCTAAAGAAGGTCCTGTCGGTTCAGGAATCTACAGCTAAAACATTCCTGAGATGAAGCACACACAAATATATATAAAAAACACATGTTTCTATACCATGTGCTACATTTACTTTTCACAGTACGTACATTTTTTCCAATGGATTTTCTCTGCTCAATGTAATGTATTTTGCAAAGGCATTCCCCTACTATACACATATTTTTATGTGCACTTTTGCATAACGTACACATATCTGTGCTCATTTTTTTGAGCTGGGAGTATTTCCAAGAAGACCTCAGATGGCTGTGTGGAAATGCAGGATTGCTGGAGAATGGCAGCAGATGCTCTGCCTCCTCCTCTACCTTCTGAGCTCCACAGCCCTCTTTTCTGCCTATTGATTTGTTCCGAATGGCTCTCGCCTTGTGTTTCCTTCTCATTTAAATTTCCACCTGGAGCAATTCAGCGCACGCAAAGGAAGAAAAAACACACTCTCAGATTTGCGACAAGGCCCTCATTTGCTGTGCAAAGCATTTATCAGCCCCATTGTAACTCAAGCCATGCTGAGGCAGCTGCGTCAAAAGAAAGGCAGTAAAAAACACAAAACAAAATAAAACAAAAAAACCCAACCAACAACTTTAAGCCAATTACTCCATTTAGAGAAAGAACCGGCAAAGGTAGCAGCACTCGGAAAGCAAATATGTCTCTCCCTGCAGCACCATGCGCCCTTCTGCCGGAAGCAAGAGCTTAGCTGCATGTTATGATGTACAAATGGAAACCCAGAGGCTGGTAAACACCAGACAAAGCGCTGTCAGATGCGCATCCCTGTCTCTTCCCGCGTTCCCCATCTCTCTTTTGAACACTGCCTCTCCTTAAAGAACGCCAATCTCTCTCTGCTGCTGCTGCTCTTTTCTTTCCAAAGCTCCACAAAAGCAAAACAAAGGTGCTGCTTCATAAGGTAGGGAGCAAGGCAATCCCAAGCCTCAGTGGCCTGGAGCGCTTTGTGTGTTTAAAAAAACAAAAACGAAGCCCAAACACATTGTACATCTGCGATAAAATCAGGGATCAAAGATCAAGTAAAATCTGCCAGAACAGACAATCTGCAAGTGAACTCACGGGATCTGTTTCACTTACCCTTTCTTTTTCAAACACACAGGGAGAGTGATATTTGAAGGCACACCTCAGGATGCGCAAGGACGAGCCTCCTTTGCCCTCAAAGCACTAATGCACTAAGGAGGATGTCTTAATGGCTGAAAATGTTTCCCTGTAGACACAGCCCTCCTATTCTATTCAGGCTGGCATCTGGGACACTCCGCGGAGGAACCGGCACAACACCAGCCAAGACATCTGAGGGATTGAAGGGCTCTCCTCCTTGCAAGGGCTGGGCTGCATGATCCTCAGGTATCACGAGGAACACTCTTTCCAAGGACCACCGGGTGCCCAGGATCCCTTGTCAACAGAGCCTGTGGTCCAAAACAGTTATGCTTCCCAGAGCAAAGATTTGATGTGGGAGTGGGCAACCGTGGCCTGAGAAAATGCCCTTCACATGCCACCTTTCTGTCACCCAAGTCTGTCTGGCAGCAAACTCCTTGGGCTGCCTCTTCTGGGCAGGCTATTACCGGTATCTTTCTGTAAATTAGAGAGCAGCATCTACCTTAAGCTTCCAGGTGCTGCCACACCTCTCATGGTATAGCAGTTTCTTTGGCAAAATAAAGCAAGGGATGGGGGAAGAAAGAGAAAGAGAGGGAGGGAAGGAAGGAAGGAAGGACAGAAGGAAGGAGAGGCAGGGAGAGAAACTTGTCTGTGGCAATCAAATATGGCCACAGGGAAATATTCCTTTGTGCTGCTGCTGCTACTATGCTCAGCAGCTGGAGTTTACATAGAGTCGCATTCAATGAAGATGACAGCAGCCATTTTTGTGCCACAGCCCTCAAAAGAGGAGTGGCAAATGAATGAAACACATGGCCGTGCTTTGGAGAATAGCTCACCCGTGGGGTCTGTGTGTGTGTACTAAGTGCTTCTGCTTGTTCAGAGGAAACAGAAAATGGGCAACCAATTAGCCAAGCACTAAAGAGGACAACAGGGGAAGCCAACATTCAAATCATTAAGAACGATTTTCCTTTCCTTCTCAGACCCTACCTTGGGGCTTCTAGGGACTAGTGAGAAAGAAGGGTCTTGTGGTCACAGAACCATAGAATTGGAAGGGCCACCAAGCGCCATCTCACCCTATTGCCTGCCAGGGGAAGAGCTCCACAACTAAGCCATCCCTGCAAGGCGGCCATCTGCAGCCCTTCCACAAGGCAGATTGGTTATAGAGTCTTTGTCAGCATGATGGCCAAATGCTAACAGCTGTCCTGTGGCTCTGCTAGGTACTTTAGGCTTCAGCCTGGCCAGAAGAGACCAAAGGGTAGACTTCCCTGGTAGCAACGTGCTTCTGCTGCTACGATAGCTATTAGGAGGGGAGTTAGGTCGTGCGTGTGTGCTTCAGGTCCTTTTGTTTGCTTCTGCCCTGGAATAACTCCAGGGATGCTTCCTTCTTCCAACTGCCTTGCCCTAGTGCACACAGGATCCAATGTGGCATAGTGGTTTAAGTACTGGACTATGACTCTGGAGACCAGGTTCGATTCCCAGCTTGGCCATGGAAACCCACTGGGTGACCTTGGCCAAGTCATACCTTCTTCTGAAGAAATTTGCCAAGAAAACCCTATGATATCCTGGGGTCACCATAAGTCAGAAACAATTTGAAGGCAAACAAGTGTGCACAGGGGGGTGAAGGTCAGTGCAACCCAGCCCAGGGGAACCATTATTCAGCCAACTGGGAACAGGAGAGTTGCCTCCAAAAGAGCCGGGGAACAGGCAGTTGTTTAGGGGTCTAGCTCCACCACTTTCTCTGACAAGGTGCTCAGACCCTTCTGCTAAAGGACCGTGATGCACTTCTTCTGCTGCATCTACAGATCACAAACACAGCTTATCTTACAGCATTGATGTGTGAGAAACTTTTTGATACCACCCAAGTCTTGAGGAGGCTTGGAATGGCAGACAGTTTTGGTTCACACAACCTCGGTTTAGTCCTCTCCAGCAAAGGCTGCCTTTGGAAGGAGGCTGTTCCACAGTCAGGAAAGTTTTCATAACACCAGAATCTCCTTTCTTGCAATCAAACCAAGTTTGCCCCCATCTTCCACATGACAGCCTGTCAGATACTATCATCTCCTTAGTCCTGGTGAAAAGCGATGTGGCAGCAGTGCCAGGGCGCATGGAATAAGTAAGGGCAATGGCATCCTTTGCCACTCTGCTCAGGCTCTTCCTCTGTGCCTATCAATTTAACTAAGATCTCCCTGTGCTAGATGAGAAGGGAGATGGATTTCCCCCAGAAACCATATTGTTGTAAACTATTAATGTTGTAATCAGGAGTATTTTGCAGCAGCTTGTCTTGGGCAAACATTACCTTTACAAAAGACCTGCTCCCAGCAGAAATGAAAACTGCTAGAACTGTTTTGTTCTTGTGGAATATCGTGGCTTCTTGCATTTGGTAATTCCCCTTGGAGGGTGAGATGATGAGGGCTGCCATGATGAGAGTCTGCACTTCAAATTTTAACATAATACCATGGAGGAAACTTCAATTCAGTTAGGAAATAAAAGGCTCTCCCTGTCTCTCTCTCTCTGCCTCCCTTCAACAGGGGATCCATATTTTCCCATAAGCAATCCATAAGCATGAAGAAGCCCTCTCTTCCTTGCTTTTATGGAATGGCAACCTGACTGTTGGATTCTTTTACCAGCTGGCCAAGGAAGGAGGAAACAAGAGCCACCTTAGGACAAGGACCCAAAAAAGCTGCAAACTCTTAGCAGAGACACCAAATGCCGCCAAATGCAGAACTGTCCGTATCTGCGTAGGTCCAAAGTGCCGACATGCCATCCTGCACGCCTTGCTAACATGCCCAACCAACGTGTGGACTGTGAGCAACCTGTTAAGCAGCGGTGCCCAAACCTTTCTTCAAGGGTCCCCTCTGTAGCCATGGAAACAAATGCAAATACCTGTTCAGAATCACCATTTAAAAAAAGGCCCAGACATCACCATTATCTGGGCCTTGATTTTTATTTTTCAAGAAACCTCAAGAGGCCAGGTGTTAATAGCCGGTGTGCTCTATTTTATCACGGGTCTTTATTGTCTCTTTAATGAGCTCTCTAGGAAACCTTGAAGCGCATTTCCACAGAGGAGCAGAATGGGGAGCTAAGTGCTTTGCCTCACCAGCTTCTTCCTTCCCCAGTCCCCTCCCAGAGTGATTAACTATTGATAACCAAAGCATTTACAAACGACGTAGTTAACAGTTTATTTTTGTGCCGTCTCCTTCCTTTCCCAAGCACCCACTAACAAAATCCCTACAAGAGGTAATGGGCTATGTTAACGCGATGGTCACACGCAGCAGCGCATCAATCATGCACCAAAGTGGGTGCCTTCCAATTCTCAGCATAAATAGAAGCATCCCTCACTCACACACTTTTGTGGGCACACACACACATCCACTCTGCAAATTCTGACCGATTGTGACCAACAGGCCCTTGAGCCATTCAGAGAGATGGAAGCATTCCCATCTGTATGCACAAGAGTCACTGCCATCTTCTCTTTCCGACTGTGAGTATGGTGCCAATGCACTGCAAATAAGGCATTTGTAGGTTTCTTTGCAATACATCAGGAACCTGCAAGTGAAAAAGGATGGGGAGAGGAGACTTATGATTGCTACAACAGATAACGTTGCACAACTGATCGACTGCAAAGGAACTTATCCTACATTCCACAATTTGGCCTCAGGCAGAGAGAAAGCATTACAGGAAAGGGAGCCTCTGTCCACATGTAGCACAGCAAAAGCAAATGGCTAAAAGCCATGACTCTCAGAGATGCCAAACAGTCTTCGGTGGGAAGCTCTTTCAAGATCCCATTGAGGCCTCAGACATGCTCTAATACATCCTTAATGCAAACGACCCCAAATTAGCAGTGGTCTATTGCAGGCAAGCAACCCACATGGACAGGTTCCCAGGGAAAGCCTGGCTTCTTCATAGGATGACTCTGAGGACAAGGACAGACCAAGGTCATTCCCTGGACTCATTGCCTCCAATCCTCCAGAAAGAAACCTGCATCTTTGCCTGCTCCCATATATCTCCTTGCTGTACTGCAATTGCTTTCGTACTCAACTCAACCTGCTGGAGAAAAAGCAAGCCTCTCAAATGCTTGTTCCTTCCTTCCTTCTTTCCTTCCTTCCTTCGCAAACCATTGCCACAATTGGCTCCTGGGTCTGAGAGGCATTTCGTGTTGGTTTGTGAAGATGCTCCCATGCAGTTCCAGTGCTTTCCAAGAGCGAGGCAGAACAGTCAGCAATTCCATCTCCTAGATTTTAGTGGCTTTGGGGAGAAATATATTCAAACAAGGGAAGATAATTTTACAACTATGGCCCTTTACAGACTGCCATAAATAATGCCCCTTGAGTCCACTTTAACTGCCCTGGCTCAGTACTAAGGAATCATGGGTACTGTAGTTTATTATGGCACCAGAGCTCTCTGACAGAGAAGGCTCAATGTCTCAGGAAAAAATACAATTTCCATGATTCCTTAACACTGAGCCAGGGCAGTTAAAGTGGACTCAAGGGGCATTATTTCTGGCAGTCTGTAAAGGCCCTATCTGAAAGAGGAGCAGGCACAATATCCATTGAGAAGGAGGCTCTTTTGTGGCCTTTTCTAGTCACAACAGTCACCCTATACCACTTACTTTAAAGAAAATCATAACCACTGTCCAAAGCAGACAGTGTCACAAATGCTTGAAATGTCTTCTCCCTTCAGTCTTTGAGGTCATCTGGAGAGACCCTCCTGGCATCGTCACATGCCTCCAATGTCCCCTTGGCAGTCTTTTGGAGCAGGGCCTTGAGAGTGGTGCCAGCCACTCTATGGCACACTCTTCCCTTTGAAATTCAATGTATTTAGTTGATCTTCAGATCTAAATGGTTTGCAGACACTTGTAAATAAGTTAATGGAAAAAGGAAAGCTGTTAACACCATAGTTCCTAGCAGAGTCAGAAGAAACCAACGCTACCACTTGCTGAGTCTGCTTTGAATCTTTCATGGGTTATTTCATTGTACTTCACTTTGCAATGGACTGGGACCAAAGTGTTTTCTCAGTCAATAAAACCAATACCAAACTGTGTTGACTAGCCTTACTCGGCATGCAGATGTTCTCTTGGCACATTTGCTTACAAGCACATGGGTCACTATGAAAGCCATGCAGCTGGGAATGCGGTGAGCTCCAACCAACGGCAAGGACGGGTTATTCTACCATCTCCAAAGAAAAAGCAACCAAGTTCTGAAAATATATGCATATATTCAAGAAGCAAGGAAGAAAGGATTGAGCAAACTGCTTATTGTTTTCAGCATCCCACCAGCCCATATCTGGCACAAAACTCCCAAGGGAATGACTTGCGGGAACTCCAGTATTGAGGGAATGGAGGAGGGAAGAATCTCTCTTTTGCAGGGCTGTTGCTGCTTCTGCTGCTGCTTGGAAAGCAGCGCGGAATGCAAGCCTGGCATAAGCAACCCTGTATGTAGGCATTGAGGGTGAAAGAGCCTTTTATGCTCTGCACATTAGATGGTTTTGTTCCCTAGCCCAAGGCTTGCTCTAGAAGGCCAGCCAAACCTGATGTCAGCCTGGGTCACTGTTGCTCCAGCAGAAGAGATGGAGGCTGAGAGGGAGGCAGCGGGTGAGAAGTGGAGGGAAGGAGAGGGAAGCAGACCACCATTTTACTCATGCCCTTTCTCATCACACAGGAATACCCCAAGAGAAGCAAGGCTTTAAACTCAACCCAGTCACCCCTGGCTTAGGGTGCATCTACACTGCAGAAATGATGCAGTTTGGCACCACTTTAACTGCCATGGCTGTTCTGGGATTCTGGTCAAATGGGCAGAAGCCGATCTAGCAAGGGGGTCCCATATGTTCCACCAAATGTCCCTGTGAGGGTGGTGGGACATAGAGAATAGCCCTCCCAGAATATCTCAAAACCCAGGCAGACTCATATGGGGAGACGTGGTTCTTTGGATAACTTTGGCCGGAGCCATATCAGACCTTGTAGGTCATAACCAGCGCTTAGCAGTTAGTTCAGCATCCCACCCAAGTTCTGCCCTCCCTGTAATCTCTCACTGCCTCCGGGGTGTTTCACACACTGATGCTTCTAGTCTGTTGAAACTGCACTTTCCAAAAGTGCTCCCAAGAGAACTGCTGCGTTATTTTTAGGCTTTCCTCCATTTTTGTTCCTGATTCAGCTACACCTTTGAGTCAGCATCCAGAGCGAGTGGAGGGAGAAGTGGCTGCCCTCCTTCTCACTGGGATGTGGCATCATTCACCATTCACCATCCACCCCTTTGCTCCTCATGGAGGGCTCAGAAGAACCTAAACGTTAGCTTGGCTGCTAGGTGAGTAGGCATCCGTTCTTGGAAGAAAGATAATTTCTGAAGAGCAACTGCTACCACTTTGGGCCCAAAATTTAAGACTTGGTTCCAGGAAACTGCTGCAGACAGCCCAAAACCCACTGGAGTTTTATGTGGTTGGAAACGTATTTCAGTTTAGATGAGGTGATTTGGCAGGTTCTGAAATAATTCCTCCTCTCTT